CTGATAGTAAAGAATTACAATAGTCCAGCCTTGAAGTAACAAATGCATGGACTAGTTTCTCAGCATCACCCCTGGACAGGAGATTTCTAATTTTTGCAATATTTCGCAGGTGAAAGAAGGAAATTCTAGAAACCTCTTTGATATGGGATTTAAATGACAGATCCTGATCAAAAAATAACACAAATATGTTTTAGTTTATTATCTGAAATCAGTTTAATCCAATCCAAATGAAGTGACTGAAGTGTGATCCCAATCCTTTTTAACAACTGTGCAACTTGAAAGAAAATCAATATGAAGTCTGACCTCCAGGGGCCTTTATATTGATTCAAATCTCTCTGAAAATAGTGAGATTAAAGAAGAGCCTTCATTATCATATTTTCTAATTGAATTTGCTGTTTTTATATCCAATATTTCAAAGAATCGCTAATTTAATAATTTCATAAATTACAAGCTCTTATCAGGTGTTAAATTTAGACTTTTAATTTGAAATCAGGTTTCCCATTTCCGCCTCAGACGGACTTGAACTTCACTCCGCTGCGCTTAATCCACCTGGGCAGTGAGTAAACATAGATAGATCAGCAGCGGATAGATCAGCAGCGGACAGATCAGCATCTCGTCATTTCTCGGGGAGACTCCGCGCTCGTGCATCAGACAGAGATTAATTATTGTTGTCGTTCATCAGCGCCTCTAAAGGATAAATGCGCACAGAGAAGATGATGATGATGATGTCCCCATGGGACCGCTGGTACTCCACCAGCTGCTGCCTGTGCTTCCATGTCCGCACAGGAACCATCATCCTGGGGGTCTGGTACATGGTGAGCATCAGTCTCTCCTATCCTGCTGATTTAATATGTTTCATGTTTGTTTACAACCAGAATCCTCAGAAGTCTGCAGAGCTCTTCACCTACTGTCATAGTTATTTCTCCTACTTAAATATGCTTTTAGTCATCCCCTTGAACATGGGTGGTTCTAGACAGGGGCCAACAGGGGCCAGTGCCCCTCTAGAAACCTGTACTGAAAATACACAGAATATTTTTTCACTTTTGACAAGTAGTGCATTAAGCCGGGCATACACTGTGTGATTTTTTTAATTGTTGTACACAGCTACAGCTCACTCTGTATGATGAAATCGCAGGGTTTAAAAGTTCACAGCTCACGATGTTTGTTCTCACACTGTGCGACCAGATGCTCTGATGCGATCTACCTGCTTACACTGTTCATCTTAAAACATGTTGGACTCAACTTATCAGAGGAATGACACTACTGGGACTTGTCTATCCGGAAGCCAAACGAGTAGAAGAGGAATATGAAGCTGACTAGAGTGAAACGCTACCTTGGCAATTTTGCAATTTTGTGCTGAAAGCCCTAAAAAGAAAAGGCGACCACCAGTGGTAGATCTAGGGGTGGCTACTTGGGCTATAGTCCCGGATGTTTCCCCAAGAGCCCCAGATCTCCCTTCTGAGCTGATCTGGGTAAAATGTGCAGTACTGGAATTCACCTGAGAGTGGCAGCATGTACAGGAAAGCAGCCTGTAGCATTACCCTGCAGAGGAAGAAGCATTTCCCTCTTGTCGCTGCAAGCTTTGCAAATTTTAAACGGTTAGGCCAGTGGTGGATATCTACGACGAGTATTTGGGCCAGGCTAGACATTTTTTTTCTTCTTCTATTTCGAGAATAAAGTCGTAAAATTACGAGAGTAAAGTAGTAAAATTACGACAATAAAATCGCAACATTACGAGAATCAAGTTGAAACATCATGAGAATAAAGTCGTAAAATTATGAGAATAAAGTCGCAACATTACGAGAATGGAGTTGTAACATCATGAGAATAAAGTCGTAAAATTACGAGAATAAAGTCGTGACATTACGAGAATAAAGTCGTAAAATTATGAGAATAAAGTCGAAACATTACGAGAATTAAGTCTTACCATCATGAGAATAAAGTTGTAACATCATGACAATAAAGTTGTAAAATTACGGGAATAAAGTCGCAACATTACGAGGAGAACGCGGAGATTAGGAGAACAAAGTCATAAAATGACAAGAAACAAGTTGTATTTTATGACAACTCCTACAAGAAGCACTTTCGTCTCTAAAATGAGGAATCTGGAGCATCATGTGAATTTATACTTTGGCTCTGGTTTGACAGATAAGGAAATCTTTTAGCACCAGCATCAAATAGGGCAGAATGTCAAAGTGGACTCAGGTTGCTGATTGGTGGAGCTGGTCGGCTGTCATCTGCTGGTCAGGTGATGACTTCATTCTCATAATATTACAACTTTATTCTCATAATATTACGATTTTATTCTCAAAATAGAAGAAAATAAAAATCTCTAGCCTGGCCCTAATACTCCGTCGTAGATATCAATGGAAGCTTTTTCAAAAAGCAGACAGCTGCAGCACCAGCAGCACCAGCAGCACCAGCAGCTGTTGCTAAACAGACTGGTGTCCCAGGTATGTGAGGCTTTTACTGATTTTGAGACACTCTTAGTCCCGGTCTTGTGGAAAATTCTGTTCCCCTGTGAAAATCAGTTCCCCCTGTTTCGGGAGTGCGCATTAAAGCCAGAGAGGCGGATCTGGCAGATCTGACCATTTCCCCAGCCCTTCTGGTCAATTTTGGTTTGTTATTGATCAAGAGAGGAATAAACACAGTTAAAGACTTGCAGGTACAATAATTTTTTCCTATATTATGGAGGTGGAATGGATTATTTCAGGCAGCTGAAATATCCTTTCTCTCCTCTCCTCCTCCCATATCTTTGGGAAATAAAGAGCAACTGTTTCCAACTTTTAAAAACTTGTTTTGTGTGATAGCTTGTAGAATACTCAAAATGTCCTTAATCCAGTAATCTGTCATATTTTACATTAGGGATTTACCGTTAAGTCTACACTCTCATCTTCACCCTCAGGCCCCTGATCTTCTAGAATCCTAGATCCCTGGTGACGACATATTTGGCCAAAGACATGGCTGAACAAACATGGATACTATGGTCTGTCTATTTCATATAAAGAACTTCATTTCACTCGCACCCCCACCATGCTTCTGTGTTTTAGTCTAAGAGGAAGAATTCTTGTTTGCCCACGACCACCTTACGACGGCCAACTGAATTGCTGAATTTGATTTTCTCCCGACCTTACGATTCCTGAACGGGAGGTGGTCGTGAGAGGCTGATCGCCCCTTGTTACCCCCTGTGCACAACATGACGCACGACTGTCATGAAACGAGGACAGATGGACCCAGTATTCAAGGAGAGACAGTCAGTAGGAAAGTTCAAACATTTATTAAATAAACAAAACAAAAGCGGAGCTGTGGCTTGCGGACACTGCAGGATGGGGGGTGGGGCACCGCCCAATCACAGACACTCTGTAGTGGGAGAAACACAGGTAAGTGACCACAATCATCTAACAGAAGATTATCTGAGTTGGTCACTTACCTGGTTTAACAGTCCAGACCAAGAATGTCCCCAAGTGCTGCAGTCCCAGAGGTCATGCTGGAAGCCGATCCTGGTGAGGGATCCAGAACAGACAGGAACAGACAGAACAGGTGGAATCCAGATCAGGCAGGAACAGAAACAGGTGGCAGGATCCAGACTTCCGGGCATCCACAGGCTCCCAGGAGGGTTCAGAGTCTGAATGGGACCAGAAGCATGACCAGGTGATCACGCACAGGAGCAGACAGGATCAGGTGTAGACAGGCAGGCTCAGTGGAAGAGGGTAGCCAAGACAGGACGTAGGAACTGGAACTTGAAGCTGGACTTTAAACTGGTCTCCTCCCTGGAGCCAGGCTTACTGGATAAAAACTGAACCTCTCCACATAATGAGCCAAAATCCAGAGGACTCCACGGGGGAGGAACAGTGGACAATCAGGAGACGAGACAAACACAAAAACCCTCTTTCCACTGGCTGCTAGGATCCAGGACATGAACCAAGGCAAAAACTCAGACAAACAGACTAACAGAAAGACAAGTAATGATCTGGCCCTGAATGCTCAGGCTAAACTGAATTTAAACCAGAGGAAACAGGTGAGAGGAATAAATTATAATTGGGGCGGGGGGGGAAACGGGCGGTTGGGGGGATTTCTTATTTAGGGGGGGGCAACCGGGCCGGTTCTTGCGCACGACGCATGATCAGGCTGAATGTCGGCCCGATTGAAAAATTCTCACACGTTGGGAGAATTAGCCTGAAAAGGGCAAAATATTGTACAGTGTAAGCCCGGCTTTAGACACATTTGTTGAAGTAAGTTTATTTTCCTTTGATTTAGGGAGGAATTTGCAGATGGACTAAGATGATTTATGTGTAAAATAAGAAATTAAGAATACTCGTTCCTTTGCACTTTTTAAGAACATTTTCACTTGTTTTACATCATTTCTTTTGCATTATTCTTTTGCTCTGTGCCCCCATGAAGAGCAGCAGGCCCCATCCTGCCCCCCTGGTAAATTTTGTCTAGAACCGCCACTGCCCTTCAATCAGCCTAACTAAATGTAAATGACTGTCAGATAGAGGATCCTCTATCTTCTATCAATAAATTAGCAGTGGCTCTGTTCAGGTAGCAGGTTTTGTGTCAGGTTTCCTATTGAATATGGAGAAGTTGCCATTGCTTCAGCTCATCAATAGAGACGTATGAGTCATCAGCATAATGAGCTACACTGACCACAAATCGCTGGAAGTGCTTGTTTGTTGAAAACAGCAAAAAAAAATGTCCAGCCAGAGCATTATTTTGCATGTCTCTATGGTCTGTAATTTATGCACAGGTTTTTATATCTTTTACTTTAACTCGCCCATGTTACCGTCTGTCTAACTGTTTCCTCATCTTCATTCGCCCATATGTCCTTTGTCCCTAAGCTCATCAATGCTGTGGTGTTACTCATCCTGCTCACAGCGCTAAGTGATCCTGAAAAGTACCACCTGACCAGTGCTGAGTTGGCTAATGACCTGGATGTCATGGATGATGCCAGTAAGTATAAAAAAAACAAACCTCCCCATGCAGAAGGTCTACAGAGACACTGTGCTTCTCATTAGTATTTATTCATTACAAAGTAAGCAAAGGCCTTAATTGTTTTGTTGTTTTTTTACCCATAAAAAAAAACAAGTTTATGCGCTGGTATTACATGGATACCTTTTTATTATAATGTAGATGTAAGCTTATAAGACCTCCTGAGCTTATCTGGTAGACAGCAAAGGTGCTGCTGTGAACTAAAAACCTAAAAGCACAGTCATGCAAACCTGCTTTCCATCTGCTCAAAGAATTAGAGCAATCCGTCTTAGTCCAGAAGTGCTCTAGAGCGGTTTGGGTGGGGTAGACCCACACCACATGGCATTGAGATTCCCTGATTTGGACTGACTATAAAGTCCCAGGATTACTTTCCTATTATAAAAGGTTGTATCCCAGCTTCTGTAGTAGAGAAAAATACAATAACTAGAAGACCTTAATGTAAGTTATCAATATTTGGAGTGTTCATACAGTAGATTAGTGAGCATCTTTGTAGTGTGTGACAGTTACTGTTTACTGATGGATTTAAGGACATACAGACTGGTGGCCTAGTTGGATACCACCATTAAATAAAAAAAAAAAAAACATCCTATGTATCAAATAAAAATTAATCAATCAATTATATTTATCCTAAATGAAAATTATCTACACAACAGGAAATCCGTATTTTTCTCCGGACAGAAAACTTACTCTGTGTTTACATTTCAATTAAGTTTATTTCTATAGTGCCAATTCACAACACTTGTCATCTCAAGGCACTTTACAATTAAACCAGATCATACAGTCAAATTGATTCAAAGTTTTCTGTCTTAGCATGCTTGTAGCGACAGTGGAGAGGAAAAACTCCATTTTAACAGGAAGAAACCTACAGCAGGGTTAGTTGTTGTAAAGCCTTTACAAATCCCCCCAGATCTGTTAAAGCCTCCTTTCGGACAAAAATTAGAGACAGTTAGCATCAGTTAGCTTAGTATGTGTGTGTGGTCAGCTATTCTTTCTTAAAATGTACACAGTTGTAACGTTTAAATCTACATATATTTATTTTGGCATTAATTTCAAGTTAAACGTCGAAACATTTTAAAAGTGAGCTCTGCAGACCCGATTTCTACGATCACGATGTCAATCTGTTGGCTTCCCGCCTTTTTTATAGAACACTTAGCTGATCATTTGAAGCAGTGGCTTTAATTTAGTCACAATGCAGTAGAACAAGATGTTTTCTTTGCATTTGGCTAAAAATAAAGCACAGCTAAACTAATTCATAGTGGTGAATAGATTTAAAACCACCAGGAACAAAAAAAAAGGTTAGGACTGTAGGTGCATGTTAGCTAAATTGTTTAGGAGAGATTTGTCATATATGCTAACATGGTTTTTCAAATCACATGTATTTTGAAATGTTGTATGTACACAGCTGCCATCCTGAATTAATTCCCAACACAAAATAGCACAATTATTAAATAGAGACTCTGTTTTGTTAAAAAAGAAACAATATAATTAAACTAACAGGACTAATTCAGTTCTCTTGACACTTAGCATAAGAACAGCCTGATAATAAAAGGACATATTTTCTAGGCTTAATGTGATTTAACATGTGACACTGAGATGCAGATAAGTCCTTTGATAATACTGTATCATACAGAATGTTAATTCACATTAAATCAATATATTGTTTTACTCAGGCGTTCATCTACTGCTACAGGCTTTTATCTGATTGTGTCAAATTCTAATGTAGGTTTTCTCTGTTACGCTGACTTGGTGTGGGTCAGACTGAGTGACCCAAATACTGAGGTTTATCCCTTTTCTGGTCGACAGGAACAACATGTCTTTAGTGTTTCTGCACACATCAGCTGGACGTCAGGCTGTCGACCTTTTAGAAATGAAAATTGGAGCTTAGTTTGGGCCACTGGAGAGCCTAGAAAATCCTACATAGAAGGGCAAACGGGGCTTAAAATGTGTTGGCAGACTGGAAAAAATTACCACATTATTGAAAAACATTAGAAATCTCTTAATATCTCTTTCTGTATTTGCAAATGAAAGGAATTCTTCAGCACTTATGCTAATAACATGTTCTTAATATTTACTAATTTTCCAAGCTGTTGGACTTTGTGGCTTCCTTCACATTCTTCATTCTTCCTTCCTTTAATCCCACAGTTTTTCTTTGTCAAATAAGGTAGAAATGCCTCCATTTTACAATTTCCTTTTATCTGCAATATACAAACATTAAGATTTGGAAAGATTACGCCACTAAGTATGGGAAGATAATAGTAAGCCAGGAATTATTTATCATATTCATACATGTCACACCAGCACTGCTGGTTCACTGTTTAATTTAAAGGCTTTGAGGGGCTTTTGGACAAACACACAATTACAAGTATTTTAATGATATAAATTTAGGGGTTGTATGATGTTCTTTTCTTTGCTGTTACAGACATGTGCATTGCCTCAGCAATTTCCCTACTGATGATCCTTATATGCGGTATGGCAACATATGGCGCATACAAGGTAAATACAGTAATTTCTGGTAATATCTTTATTTTTCCCCTGAACTCTGTTGAATTATTTGAAATCCTCTGTCTCCTAAATGTCTGTGTTGCAGCTGCGTGGCGCATGGATTCTCCCCTTTTTCTGCTACCAAATATTTGACTTTGCTCTCAACACCCTGGTGGCTGTTAGCATCGTTGTTTACCCAAACACAATCCAGGATTATCTGCACCAGCTGGTAAGTTTAAGGTCATTTAAGTTAAAAAAGATCTGTACCTGTACCTCTCTGCTGCACTCTGATGGATGTTTTGCTGACTCATATTCAGCCTGATGATTTCCCTTACAAAGAGGAGGTGACTGCGCTCAGTAACATCTGCCTGGTCCTCATCGTTTTGCTCTTCATAGGCTGCATCATCGGCTTCAAGGTAACGCTCCCTGGCTTCACTTTAGGAATTTCTTCACAGGGTTTTATATCAAGCCGCATAAATAGTTTTTCTTCAAGCTTTTATAATCTTTTATATCCTTACTTCTTTACCTATTAACTTTTTTTTTAATCAGGTAGGTAGTATTCACATAAAATATCATACTTGCATACACATTTAATAATAACTATGTAATGAATTAGGTAAGGATATAATGGGAGGTGAAAGTAGATTTAAATTATGCCAGTACTATATATAAAAATCTTTTTTCAAGCCCTGCATGCATTTTAAAATATTTCTTTTCCCAGATATAGACCAGTGTAACCCAAATATAACAACTAAACTCCACTTTTGTATTTATATTTAGAGCATTTAGCTTCCCCATTTTTATTATTCAAATATATAAGCATGACATTCATTTGATAGTGGTTTCAAAATGAAAATGCACAGACATTCTTTATCTTTATATTTTTACAGCATTTTTCAATCCCTTTTTTAAATATTTTACAGTAAATACCAAGTCACCAGGTAAAGTAGGCAACACCTGGGGTCCCGATCCAGTAAGAGGACCAACCAGTGGGGGCTGCTGGTTGCCCATACCTCAAACAGCACTATTGGGATATTTATGGGTGTTTGAAATAAAATAATTATGATTCAGCATCAAAACAGTGAAGAGAAATGCTAAATTAAAAAACAAAATCAACTTTTCCTTTCCATATACAAAAATGGCCTGATCCTTCCCATCACCTAAAACATCCCTAGAAAGTATGCAGCAGCGGGAAAGATCAGAAAATAGAGAGAAGGGAACAAAAAAACAGTTTTTATATAATAACCTACTAATACTGGTTTAAACACTGCATGTTTTCTGAATACCTCTAGATCTCATAAAAGATAATGATACACTAGTTCCAAATATTACATCAAATTTAAATACTTAAAAAAAATTATTTGACAAGTTTTACTGTATTTCATATAACCGCTACCCGCTTAACCATAAACTCAAAATGAATGAGAAGAAAAAGAACACAAGAAAATGATATATGTGCACTCAGGGCACCATGACTGCATAACTTCAAGCACATGCTGGGACAGATTGACAGTTTGTCTGTCCTTTAACAACTTTAACAGCTGTTCAGTCCAGGGATGTCGGTCTGCCTCACCCATTACACAAGAAATACAAAACATCAACAACAAAATAGTACTGTAAAAGAGGAACACTGCTGATTTCAGAGTAGCTGCCATGGTAGCTGCTGAACCCTGGTGCAGACTTTTGAGTTTAAACATGCTAAATCTGTCCCAGGTAAAAGATCTTTGCGTTCCTTAAATGGCTTTTCAATTCACAGAGCTGTCAGGGAATGAACAAACCCGTCTGACTGGGTTATGATTGCAAGAAAGTAAGAGAGCTTTGGGGCTGGGAAGCAGATGGACACATAGGTGGACGCAGCAGATGGTATCGTGTTTAGCTGAGGAGTTCCAAGGAACAGCCGCCTGCTGAGACCAAAGGGATTTGGTGGATAACAGCAAACAACAGGAGATTGTTTTTCACAACCACTAAATGATGTATAGGTCTTAGACCGATCTTGTAAGCAGAGACTGAACTGAACAAGAGTGAGAGTTTGAGCCTTTCATGCAGTATGAAGCCTGCTGTTCATGTAAGCCTAATGCCACATGCATCTCTGCATGCAGTATGTTTGTTTTTTTATGCAGCTTCTATGGGAATGAGATGCTTATTTGCAGCGATATGCAGCAGTGCTTACAGAGAGACAGCAAGCTGCTCTAACTTAGACGACCTGAAAACAGGAAGGCTGATATTATTTCTGAGGTTAATCCCAGTAGTAGAAGGGTCAGTGTGTCTTTTGTTCATTTGATCTTCCTCTAAGCTATTGGCTCTTGTAGATCTCTTTTTTTCATTGGGGCTCATAAAAAAATTAATACCGTAAAAGAAAAAAGACAGGGCATTAGCCAATAGTTAAGAGTGTTCCTTGAACCACAAAACCAATGTTGCAGACCTAAGATCTATAGCAGGGGTTCCCCAACATGTCAGTTCAGCCTCTAAACCCAAAAATACATCTACATACTTCAATGTATATTTTTCCATCCATTTTCCGTCTCGCTTTATCCCAGCTGTGGTCGCGAGGGGTGCTGGTGCCTATTTCCAGCTAGCATTGGGCACAAGGCGAGGTACACCCTGGACATGTCGCCATGCAAAACACAGAGACAAAAAGGACAACCGTTCACGCACACACTCACACCTAAGGAGAATTTAGAGAAGCCGATTAACCTAACAGTCAAGTTTTTGGACTGTGGGAGGTAGCCGGAGTACCCGGAGAGAACCCATGCATTCAAAGGGAGAACATGCAAACTCCATGCAGTAAGACCCCGGGCCAGGAATCCAAACCGGAACCTTCTTGCTGCAAGGCAGCAGTGCTACCCACTGTGCCACTGAGCAGGCTGTATATTAACTGTATATTATTTGTTGCATATGTATATACATAAAAAAAAAAACTAAAAATATTTCCTCAATATATATATATATATATATATGTATATACAGTGAGAAAATATGTTTATAAAAATACTTATTTGTATTTTATTTAGGTATTTTCCAATTAGTTTTTGAATTAATGATTTTATAAGTAATTTGAATTATGTGATGTAAATTTTAAAATGTAATCGTATAGTTACTATTTGAATCATTTATAAGACAAGTTATGAATTAATATTACATCTTTTTCTTTCACGGGACATTAACATTTATTTTTTAATGATATATCCTGGCCCTCCGTATACCTCAGGGATCACATCACATTGATTGAGACAACGATCATACAGCCCTGGTCTCACATCCCCCCCGGGCGGTCCCAACCCCCGACCTCTGAAACACTGTCCAAACTGTGGTCCTATCTTAACATGAGTGAAGCTGAAGGTGGCACTCCTTAATTACTATTATTGCTAAACAATAACAATAAAAGGTTACATTTGTTTAAAGGAACAGAAATTGATTAGGTAATATGTTTCAAGTACAGGTGGGGTACTGGCCCCTGTTGGCCCCCATCTAGGACTGCCCATGGGCGCCGCTCTGAACCTGTGGAGCCTCTCTGCTCTGACTTTTTGTGATTCAGTGTTTCAAATGATACTCTTATTGAATAAATTAATAAGTAATTTCCTCTATCCATGTATTTACATTACACAGAATAATATTGATAATATTTTTTGTTTATAAGCAGTTGAAGGCAGCCAGTATGATATTACATTTAGTAGTCTTACTTATTAATCAGCTGCTTCTGTAACGGTCAGCTGGAGCGCCTCTGTGTTTCTCCCGTTATCTTTTCTTTCTGCTTGTGCCTCATAAAACCACTGTTTCCTCAGGGCCCAGACGAAGTTGAACTAATTTGGTTGGTATCCATTTTCTTTATATTTAAATTAGTAGGAAAATGTTGAATTAAAAAAACGACTCCACCGTTTTTCTTTATAACTTCATGAAAATATTTTTGAAAAATTAACATTTCTTGTATTTTTATCATTGGTTTCAAATAGAAAAATGAATAAATAAATAATAAAAGGATTATATGTTACCCTGTTAACAACAAAAAATTTATATTTTTGTGTTTTTAAAGTCATTTAACTTGTTGTTAATCAAAACATGAAGCTTTGATCATCCCTTTTTGACACACAAAAAAGAAACACCTGGTATTTTGATGTAATATTTGTATTTTAAAACGAACATGATATGGCTGCTTGTTTTACTTTAAACATTCCTAAATAAATAAATAAATGACCTACAGACACACTGAGCTGAAAACATTAGATTTACCGATCAGTATTTATAAATATCTGGAGTTTTTAATGTCCACACTGAAAAAAACCTAAATCTAAATAAGTCAAACTTTACTAAAATAAGCGCATTTGTTCTTGGATTGAGGAGGCATGTGAGACACTTTGCCAGTGGAACAAGACAGTTTGCATTTAGAATAAGAAAAAAACAATTGCATTGTCTTATTTCAAATGCATATTATGTAATTCTCTTATTTAAAGAGTAAAAATACTCATTCAACTGGAAAATCATCTTATTTACCGGCTCAAATTAATGTTAAATACACTTAATTTAAGAATTGTTGACTTATTTCTAGTATTTGCAGTGCACCAGGACGTGTCCACTGGAGTCCACACTGAATTTCTAATTTGTTGTTTTTGAAGCATAGCCATCCATCCTTTTCCATCATGCTTATCCCTGCTGGGGTCATGAGGGATGCTGGTTCGTATCTCCAGCTATCAATGGGGGAGCGGTGGGGTACATCCTGGACAGGTTGCCAGTCCGTTGCGGGGGAACACTGAGACAAACAGGACAAACAACCATTCATGCATACATTCACGAAACATAGACTTGTTTGCATAAAAAATGTTTCTTGTCATTTATCCAATGAGGTAATTCATGCTTCTTGTTTGTTTTTTTGTTCTGCCCTTTCCTCCTGATCGGTTCCAGGCCTATCTGATAGCGTGTGTCTGGAACTGCTACAGATACGTGAGTGGGAGGGGCGGTTCTGAAATCATGCTTTACGTTACCACGAATGAGACTACGGTGAGTTACATTTCAAAAGATTTATTCATTTTTGGGGCCTTTTTTGCTTTTAGACCATTTTTTGAGGTTTTGAAAGTTGCATGCATTTTGCTATAACTAATTTATCTGCTCTTCTCTGCTGCCTTTACATCCTAACACATATATAAACACATTTCCTCACTCTATATATATATATATATATATATATATATATATATA